CCTCAGCAAGTTTGCGGATGACACTAAGCTAGGGGGAGACGTAGATACGCTTGAGGGCAGAGATAGGGTCCAGAGTGACTTAGAAAAATTGGAGGATTGGGCCACTAGAAATCTGATGAGGTTCAACAAGGACAAGTGCAGAGTTCTGCACTTGGGACGGAAGAATCCCAAGCATAGTTACAAGCTGGGGACCAACCAGTTAAGTAGTAGTTCTGCAGAAAAGGACCTGGGGATTACAGGGGATGAGAAGCTGGATACGAGTCATTCATGGCAGCACCAGCTTATTTGGTCTGGGTTATTGCGAGATTAAAATCCATGTAATGTCAGGTGTATCCAAATGGCCAAGGCAAGGAGGACATATGGGTTTCAGTGAAAGCACTTATGTCAAAACTGAGCTCTTCTGAGAATACAGCAAAGAGTTCTGTGGCACCTCAGGCATGGTCTACAGTAAAGGGCAAAGTCAACTTCAGATATGCAACTCCAGCTATGTTAATTATGTAGCTGGAATCAAAGCATCTTAACTCGCATTTTGGCACCATCCGCACAGCAGGAGGTCAACGGGAGCAGAACTTCCTTTACTCCTTGTTAGTGACAGTTGGCAAAACAAGGAGCAATGGTCTCAAGTTGTGGTGGGAGAGGTCCAGGTTGGATATTAGGAAAAACTATTTCACTAGGAGGGTGGTGAAGCACTGGAATGGGTTACCTAGGGAAGTAGTGGAGTCTCCATCCCTAGAGGTGTTTAAGTCTCGGCTTGACAAAGCCCTGGCCAGGTTGATTTAGATGGGATTGGTCCCGCCTAGAGTGGGGGGCTGGACTTGACCTTCTGGGGTCTCTTCCAGTTCTATGATTCTATGGTAAGTGGATGGTTTGATGAAATAACATGATCTTGGTAACTAATTGACCATTCATTATCAGTGGTAAATAGGTCAATGGAGGGATGATAGGAGTTTCTGGGTGTCTGGCTGGTGAGTCTTGCCCACATGCTCAGGGTTTAGCTGATCGCCATATTTGGGATCGGGAAGGAATTTTCCTCCAGGGTAGATTGGCAGAGACCCTGGAGGTTTTTCGTCTTCCTCTGTAGCATGGGGCGCAGATCACAGCTGGAGGACACTCTGCATCTTGGGACCTTCAAAGTATTTGAAGGCTTCAGTATCGGAGGTATAGGTGAGAGGATTATTCTAAGAGGGGTGGGTGAGATTCTGTGGCCTGCACTGTGCAGGGGGTCAGACTAGATGATCATAATGGTCCCTTCTGATCTTAAAGTCTATGAGTCTATGAGACTGCCCCTGAAGGGGAGAGATTTAGAACTGACATGGACAGAGGGCTACTGGTCATTTGGGAATCAATTTGGAGTGGGGAAACCTACATGGGCGGCTGTTATGTAAGTAACGAAAGCAATCAATATGCTTCTGCTACGGAAGATAGTGACTCTGGGAAGCATGGATGCCACAGTGGAGGGCTTTGTTGTGATGCGGTTCCCTATCTGCGGTGGGGCAATATACGCATCGCACATCTCCATCTTGGCGCCAGACTACCTTGCCAAAGCATGCGTAAATGGGAACGGGTACTTCTCAGTGGTGGTGCAGGTGCTGGTGGCTCATAAGGGCCGTTTCACCAGCATCAGGATGGGGAAAGGTGCATGACACTCGCATCTTTAGGAACGCGTACTTCTTCAGAAAGCTGCAAGCTAGAACTTTTTCCCTAGACTGGAAAACTAGAATCGGAGAGGTGGAAATGCCAGTAGTGATCCTAAGTGACCCAGCTTACCCCTTGCTCCCCTGGCTCGTGAAGCCATACATGGACAGCCTGGATAGCAATAAGGAGCAGTTCAGCTACAGGCTGAGCATGTGTTGTATACCCTTTTGGGAGTTTAAAGGGAAGGTTTGGGAGTCTACTGACTAGGTTAGACCTCAATGAACGCAACATTCCCTTTGTGGTGGCAACCTGCTGTGTGCTCCATAATATTTGTGAAAGGAAGAGGGAAAGTTATTTGGCAGATGGGGGGCTGACGCAGAGTGCCTACCTAACGATTTTGTGCATCCAAAAATCAGGATAATAAGGAGAGCATGGGAGGTGGGGTGGGGGGGCAGTGCAAATAGAGGCTTTGAAAGAAAATGTTCTGAATGGCTAGTTTTAAGAGTCATGCACTTTACTCTCAATGAGGTATCTCTACATTTAGAGTGTTTGCCTGTAATCCCCCACCCCAGCCCTGCAATACAAGCAATAAAGAGACTGTTGTTCAGAAATGTGCTTTTTATTTAGGGACAGCAGGGACAGAAAAGGAGTCCATGGTGGGACCGAAGGGTGGGGGGGGGGATGAGAAATGTGAGAAGGATGGCCTTTTGCCTCCCATGGTCCTGGAGGTTGAATGTGAGGCTACAGAGACTATGGAGTTGGGCCAGGAGGAAAAGTTGTTCTTCACAGGGTCAGAGGATCCTTTCTTGGCACACCACCAAACCCTCCATTACAGCCATTAGGGCCGAAAAGAAATTCTCCTGGTGCTTTTCTTCCAGTTCCCTGAACACTCTCCTCTCCTGCCACTCTGCTTGCATCTCCTCCAGTAGCGTATTCCTCCACTCCATTTGCTCCTTAAACATGCTTTCCCTTGTTTGTTTTTGCCTGCAAATTTATGAGAGCTGGACAACTGTTGGAGCCAGGGGGAATACACAGCAAGCTTCCTGCTGTAACAAAAAGTTACAAGGGCACACATTGCAGGAGATACATCGTCAAGCCTAAAACCTAATTTGTTACCATACAGTGAAGGGGTCTCTCTCTACAATGGAGATATGTTTTGTGCAAGGCCAAAGTTATGCTTTAAAGTGGCCACTGTATAGCAGGTATACAACAGAGTTCTCAGAGGAACATCTGGACACTCATGATTTGGAGGCAGGCATGGTAAGGGGCCTGCCACAGCACGATCCTGCAGGCAGTGGGGGCAGGATAGCGTCTCATGCGGCTTCCCTCCTCTGTAGAGACGAAGTATGCCACACGTGAGTCCCAATTGCCTTAACCCACTTGTAGCAAGAAAAATAATTAACTCACCAGAAGTTACTGAGATGTCCTGGAAGGGAGGGGATTGCCTCCAAGATTATAAAAAGTTCTTGGCTCTTGCTGCTCACCAGCTGGCCATTCTCCACATTGTTGTCCTCCCCTTCCTCCATGATGCTGCCTTCTATGCTGCTGCCTTGAGTGTCTTGGGAGGATTCCATGGTGTGGCTTGAGAAGCTGAGAGGGTCCCCCCCTTTAGGATACATCAGACATCCGTGGTGTATTCTTTCTCACCATGCACTTTGCGATCTTCGCATAGATATCAGCATTTCTTTTTGCTGTTGCGGAGCTGAGAGAGAATGATTCCTCTCCCTGCGCCTTGATGAGGTCCAAGATCTCCTTCACACTCCATGCTGGTGCTCTTTTGCGCCACCTGGGAATTGGATCTCATAGAACTTGAACTCATGGAATTCATGGTCATGTGAGCTGCTCAGGTGTTCTGCCTGCTCTGAGGTGTGCTCACAATGCTGGCCACACAGGAAATGAAATTCAGACTTTCCTGGGGCTTTTCCTGTTCACGTGGAGAGCAGGAGAGACACGAGTTCTGGCCAGAACAGTCAGAGCGGGGCACTGTGGGATTTCTCTAGGAGGCCAATAACATCAACTTTTTCAGCGCTGGATCTACTCTACTGTGAATTCAATAATGCAAGGTCAAATTTTGCATTACTCATGAAAAGCAGGAGTATACTTCAGCAGCTCTTGAAAGTTGACAGAAGAGGCTTGGTATCATGGACTAGTCATTATTTAGAAAATCGACCTTATGCATCTAAATTCGACCTATATTTCTACTGTAGACCTGGCCTCTGATTCTGAGTTGTATATCTTGATGTGCTTCCCTGGGATGGGCCTCTGCTGGAATATATCAGTAAAATGGAAGCTGTGGGAGGCTATAGCACTGATCTTGATTATGCAGAGAGTGAAGCACTGGTATTTTGTAGTATTGCATTTAAAATTTAATCTTTTAAGGGATATAACTACTCAGTGCAGTTTTCCTTTAACAATTTCCTGATTTCTACAATTTTGGTCTTTCCCTTGCACTTTTTGCTACTGGAAATGAACTACCCTTTTAAAATAGCAGATTCCCTGGGGCTTTTTATGGCTTAATGAAGTTTATTTTATTTATCTAAGAGCAGGTTGGGGGAAGGGTTTAAGGTTCTGTTGGGATAATTTAACCAGGACACACACTGAGTTAGTAAACCCTCTTCCTGAGTAAAAAGGTGACTTTGTTGCTCTGATATTGTGGCTTATTGGTGCAAAAGAAAAACCTAATAGAGCACATTGCATAACTTCCTAGTGCCCAGTTGGCTGTATATAGTGACCTTTCTTCCTTCCCTGTGCATATGCTGGGGGGGAAAAAGGGGTAGGCATGTGAGATCAAGAGCTATCAAGGGTTGCATGTCTGACTATATAGCTATCTCTTTTGAGACGATAGTGAATGATGGTCACTCCTCTTCATAGCAGGAGGAAAATTTCTGTTCAGGTAAGTAGAAAATTCATATAGAAACTCAAGTTTTAGGGAGACTATTATTCATGTCCCTGAATCCAGGCCCTGTACTAAAAGATAAGGCTGCTTATTTGCTCTTTGGGTGCCTGATGGATGGAATAGAGACCAGATATGTAGGGTGGTTAGAACAATGGAAACCACAGAAAAGAAAAATTAAGAACTCTTTTCATCCTTTTTAGGATATCTTCATTCCAACTCCAAGTCTGGAGGAGAGGCCTAGTAGAGAAGAGAAAGGGGGATTTTTATTGGGATCATGTGTGCCAGCAGATGTCTCTGAAACCACAGCAGCTCAGCCACAGATCCCCACAAGAGATCCTGTATTGTCCTGTAAGCTATTATTCTCTGAAAGTGGATGCAGCCAGCCCACAAAGATAGAAGACAACACAAGCTCTCTGAAAACCAACCATGACAGTGAAAACACGCAGACTGAGATGGATTCTACACTACAAGCTGTAGAGCTGAAACCCTGTTCTACAGAAAGTTACAACATGCAACTGAGGCTAAGTGAGGACAGCCAGGCCCTGCTCAGTGAGAACAGTGAGAAGCCAAACTGGGAGGCTGTGCGTGCTTCCAGAGAACCTACCATTTGTCCTGTTGCTGAAGGTGCAGCAGCAGAAGGCTCTGTAGTACAGATGGCTTGCATTGATCTTACAGGTGATTCTGGAAGCCAGATATCTGCAACTCTGTCTGTTCAGTTTGAGACTTCATCATGCTTGTTGGGCCAAGAAGCACTGACTGAGGTCAAGGAAAACCTGTCAGGAGAAAAGTCTGAGTATGAAGCAGTCCCTGAGACTCTCTGTGAGGTTCAAGGAGGAGAAAGGCATGAAGACCAGGAAGTGATGGGAGTAGAATCCAGTGAGATTTTTGAAAAAAATTCAGAAAAACAATGTGACCCAAGCCAGGGGTTGGTACAGATGGATCCAGAGATCAGGAAAAAAGATACCGTGAAGGATTCTACTGTGGTTGCTGAAGTTATAAGCACGATGGATCTGTCACTGAAGGCTGCTCCAGATGATGTGCCAAAGCTCAGTGATGTTCCCCGTCAGCCTTTTCTGGGAGAGTCATTGCAACAACAGGATGGCTCGTGGCCCCAGGTAAAGGTAAATGCTGCCCCACGCTTGGCTTCATGTGCCAAAAAATGTCCTAGTACTCAAGAGAACAGGAGTCAAGCTGAAAGTGACGTAGAATTGAAGCAAATCCAGAAGGATCAGCAGCCTTCTCCAGCTACTTTAGGAAGAGAGGATGAGCTGTCAGCAACACCACAGGAGTCACCTCTGATGCCCTTAGAGAAGGCAGCAGATATAGTTAAAAAAACATTAAGGATTAGTAATCTGGAGCAAGAAGAGGAGAGGACGTCTGAACAATCCCCCTGTCCATCCAGTGGTAAGTGTATTTAATGTAGTAGTTCTGCTCTGTCTAATTTGTGTCTAATACAGAGAAATAGTTTTTGTGTAATTCTCAAAACTTCCTCTATCTAAGGGGCATATTGTGCTGCTGTGGTATCAAAGTGCAGAGATGATCCAGGACTTGATACTACTGCATAACATGCCTTTTTTCTGTCTCCCTCTCTTGTGTATGCTGATACTGTCATCAATGCTAAGGTAATGTCTGCAGGTTTTGATTTCCTTCTTTCCTAACTACCCTTTCCCTCCATTATTCCAGGATTCTGCTGTCAAACAGTCTTGAAAATATAGAATACATTGATGCCGACAGATGCTCAAGAATTTTTAGGACTTAGTGTTTAGTGCAGGGGTGGGCAAAAGGCCTCTGCGGGCTGAATTCAGCACACCAAGCGAGTTAATTCAGCCCACAGAGGTCCTGCTGTTTCCTCTGCCCCCAGGCCAATCAGGGCTTGGGGGCGGAGGGAGCATGCAGTCTCCTCCTGCCCTGCAAGGGGCTCAGCACTTAGTCAACTGCCAGCTGCTGCTCAGATATTCAGATCAGCTTGCAGTTATTTCTGGAGGGGCAGGGCAAAGACTTTGCACACTCCCCCATCTCCAGATCAATCAGGGTTAGGGAGAGTAAGGGGGGGGGGTGCGGGGAGCACAGAAGTTTCCTGGCCTCACCCCTTCTGCCTGAGGCCCCGCCCCTTTCAGGGCAGCTTGGTACCACTTCAGAAATTTCTGAAGTGGCCCCTGGTCAAAAATTATTGCCCACCCTGGCTTAGTGCTAAGTACGTAAAGGAGGGGATTCCTGTGGGGTTCTCAGATTCAGAGAGTTTAAGGTCAGAAGGGACCATCATTATAATCCCCAGTCTGGCCTGTGACTTGCAATGTGCAGGAGAACCTCACCCCTACCTCTGACTGAGTTACTGAAGTCCTGAAATCATGGTTTAAAGACAAAGTTAGAGAATTCACCATTTACACCAGTTTAATCCTGCAAGTGATCCATGCCCATACTGCAGAGGAGGAGACACCCTTCCCAAGGTCTCATCCAATCTGAACTGGGGAAAATTCCTTTCTAATGACAGATATGGCAGTCAGTTGGACGCTGAGCATGTGAGCAGGACCCAACAGGAAGATACTCGAGAGAGAATTATCTGTAATAACTCAGAAACTTCCCCATCCAATGTCCTATCTCCAGCAGTTGGAGATTTTTGGTACTGGTAGTTGTCGGTGGGCCACATGCCAAAATTGGCAGTCCCTCATACCATCTCCTCCATAAAGCTGTCAAGCTCAGTCTTGAAATAGTCCGGTTTTCTTTGCTCTCACTACTCCTCTTGGGTGAGAACTTCTCTTCTGAAGGTTAGAGACTTTTGTCTAATTTCAAGCCTTAAACTTGTTGATGGTCAGTTTATATCCATTTGTTCTTGTGTCCACAATAGAACTTAACTTAAACGCCTCTTTGTTTGATATATTCATAGAGAACAGGCATGTCTCCACACATCTTTATTCCTTTCATAATCATTTCTTTTTCACAGCCTCATGTTGAGTTTCTTTTTCTATTGGGAAGAAAGCAGTACATTTGAGGTTGAGGATTCTACTAAGAGTTTCTTGAGTTAAATTATACAGAGGGGGCTTATAGGAGGGAGAGAATAAAATCTCCCTGGTTTGGCAAGGCCATACCATGGATACTAACACTTTTCCAGGATCCTCCACCTACATTCAGTTAGAGAACCCTGACCATGGTTGCTTCTACCCAGGTGATGGTGTAGATTTGCAGAGACACAGTAGCCTTTATTTTTCCATCTGTAGTATGGCATTTGCCCCAGTCTGGAGTGGAAGTGGTTAAAAGCATATTGGAGAGATTGCACAGGGCCCCAGGCAAGGGTTTGAGAGCCTGTCAAGTGGAGGCTTGAAAGCAACCAATCAGGGCCAGGCTGGTTCCTATAAGAAGGCTGCAGGATAGAGAGGAGCTCAGTTTGTCTCCAGAAGGCAAAGAAATAATAACTAGCTCTTGCAAAAGAACCTAAGACACAGCAGTGCTGGGCATGGTCAGCAGAGGCTAAGAGCTCTAGGCTGATGACTGCCGGACTGGGGCCCTGACACAAAGAGCAGAGAAGGTGTTAGGGCTGCAGCCAGGGAAGCAGGCAGTAGGGGAGAGTTGATGGAGGCCAGTAAGTGGCTGTCATTAGAGGGTGACTGGGTCGTGGTCCAAAGTAGTGGGTGGGCCTTGGCCCTTCCCCATTCCTCCTTTCTCCCCTGCTTGCCAGTGGAGAGTGGCTAAGCCAGATTGCAGCTTGCCCTTGGAGGAAGGGGCTAGATTGAGAACTGCAGTGAGCCACTGATGCGGGTGATGGAACCAGATGCTGCTGGCCCCTGGAAGGAGGGGAGAACTAGTAGAGTGAGCACATCTGGAGGACAGTGCCTAGAAGCAGACGCTGCAGTCTGGGAGTGTCAAGGTGTTCCCCACTCTGGCACGACAAAGGCAGAAGTGGGGGCTCGCAAAACATCCCAAAACCTGGTCTCTACAGGCTTTGGTACAAAATCTTCTCCCCAAAGTCCTAATATCCAGATTTTGGGGAGTATCTGCTGCCACCAGCCAAGTATTCCAAGCAAACCAGGGAAGAGATCACTTGGGAAACCTCCTCCCTAAAACCTCAGGGGTACCTCAAGTTCTTTTTCCCCAAAGAGCATGAAGAAGAGAAGAACAAGCTGCAGTCTGTGGTAGCTGACTCCTCAGATGGCCAGACCTTACAGGTAAAACTAGGACACCAAAATGAACCAATACCAGGTTAATTAGAAGAAAAAAACTTTTATTATCAAAACAAATGCATAAGTTGCAAGCATAGTAAATAGATGAAAAAGAGCCACCAGTTAATATACTCATGGGGAGGGGAGACCCTCCCCCCCATGAGCTCAAAACTTAGTTACAAAAGAGAGAAAAACCACTTTTAATAGCACAGACATAATTTCCACATTCCCAAACCAGAAAACAAGTACAGGCAGTCCCCGGGTTACGTACAAGATAGGGACTGTAGGTTTGTTCTTAAGTAGAATCTGTATGTAAGTCGGAACTGGCATCAGCCGCTGCTGAAACTGATCAGTTTCAACAGCCGCTGAATCTGGACACCAGCTCCAAGAAAAACCACTTTTAATAGCACAGACATAATTTCCACATTCCCAAACCAGAAAACAAGTACAGGCAGTCCCCGGGTTACGTACAAGATAGGGACTGTAGGTTTGTTCTTAAGTAGAATCTGTATGTAAGTCGGAACTGGCATCAGCCGCTGCTGAAACTGATCAGTTTCAACAGCCGCTGAATCTGGACACCAGCTCCACTTACAGATTCAAGGTAAGAACACCAGGCGTCCCCAAGTCAGCTGCTGCTGAAACTGATCAGCAGCTGATTCCAGGAAGCCCAGGGCAGAGCAACTCTGCCTCGGGCTTCCTGTAGTCAGCCGCTGGTCAGTTTCAGCAGACCAGTTTCTGCGGACCAGGGAGACGCTGAACAAAGCGGCGGAGCACCTGGCAGGACCCGCGCCGCTTCCAGCTGATCTGGAAGCAGCCGCGGGGGCAGACCC